TCAGGAACCATGCACCAATCCACTCAGGACCATGCTAGAAGTTTTTAACAAGAAAACATTTAAAGTTCTTTATTATTTATAAGCTTGAATTCTTGTCTCTATATATTGAGTACGATTATCCAAGGGTCCCATATTATTTGGATTGATGTCTTTGACAGCCCTTCCCTAACATTGTCGTTGGTGTATTGGGTGCTCTTTAATGTAGCTCTCCACAACTAATAAAAAGATGGTCAAGCTCCCTTAGGTATCTACTTCCTTGGAGTATCTAGAACTCCAAGAAAACAATATGTTGTATGTGTTTCTCATGCTTATTTTGATGCTGAAATGAGGAACTGCATCTTTTAACTAGAAAAGAGTCTTTGAGATGTGGACCTCCAGATCTTAAAGCACTCTATACTTCGATCCTTTATTGAAAAACCTTTCAACATCAGGGAATATTGAAAGTAGGAAACCAAACCGATATGTTGTATGTACTTTTCTTGCATCTTTTCATGATGAAAGAAAGATATGCATCTTCTCACCGAAAATAAGTCTCTATGATGTGGACCTCAAGCTCTTAGAGAGCGATGTTCTATGATGCTTTGTTGAAAGACCCTTTCAACATCGGGGCCTATCAGAAGAGAGGGACAATTTCTAATTTCGTGAGGGTGGTGATGAACGGGTTAAGTACTTACCACTGATACCCGCAAGGGTCAAGTTGAAAGTTGAAGATTCTAGTTGATACTTCCATGCAAAAGACAAGGATATCATACTTTGCTAATAAATCTAGAAATTTGCATTTGGATATTGATTCCATGCTATTAGAACTTTGACTCCATGTTGATCAAAACATTGTTCGATGCATCTATGAACCACCCCGATTTTTTGACTGGGTGGATCTAGCTTCCAAAAGATGTTGATTTGCTAATCCTAAAAGTTGGGATTGAGGTCTCATATACATCGAATCCCAATCTTGTGCACCTATGAATCACAAATTTTGTGAGATGGAATCTAGATTCCCAACCTCCAGGAATTGGAATTCAAAAAAATATTTGGAACGAGATTCAAGAAATTTGGAATCGTAATTCCTATCTTCTGAGAATTGTTATTCATCTTGGGAAATGCGGAATCGCGATTCCTAACAAGAATCACGACCTTCATAAACAATTCAAGTAACTACATTGTAAAAACTATATGTGTCCAATGCTCCAACTCCCTCTATCTCATCCAACAAATCGCACGCCCTCTTCCCCAATCACCTAACATGGCCCTTTTTATTTCTCTTTTCCAAAATAAATTGCAAAGAAAATTTAAAGAAAAGCATGAAAAAGAATGCACCAAATGAAAAATGCCACAAAAATGTGAAAACTATCACCATCTTCTTCCTCCCTCCCTCTCTCCCCTTCCTTTCTTCTTCTTCTATTTCTATATCTCTATTCTTCCTCTTGTAGCCAGGTTGCTCTTGTCCTTCTTTCCCTTAACCTTAATTTCTTTGGAAACATCAACCCTTCTAGAATTCCTTATCTATAATTCTACCATGGATTTTCAGGTATTCTTCAACAATTTGCCACCATAAAGCTAGATTAAATTTTCCATTGCATTGGAGCCAGGTACATCTCTCCAGACATCTTGATGTGACTAGCACCCCATTTCACCAAGAATTTCAGCGTTTACTATCAACAATAATTATTCTCTCAGAAAAACTCATGACCTACTTACCCAAAAAAGAAAACAACAATGCCCTTCTTCAATTCCAAATTTCCTTTAATTTTTTGGCATGAAACAATTCTTACAATAATAAGTCTACACAGACCATGACACCAATTTTATCAAAATTCTAATATTCAATGATTAACCAACTTGAATTTACCGATCTGCAAGCCTTTGATTCAGTCTGCGTTGTTTTTTCACCTTCTTTCGAGATGGAGTTACATGCTAGCATTTCTATGCATGCTTGTCATGGATATGCATCTGATCCGGAAGTATATTTGTCCTACAGTTCAAGAAATAATAAGCTTACAATATCCCCTCAGATAATTATCCAGTGCACATGTCAACTTGATTGTTATAAACAATCTGAGCCTACACCAGTGCATGACATCCCTCTCCTTCCTAACCATCTTAACTCTCATGACTCCTGAGAAAACAAACTCACTTAAATGGCACAACTGACTCGAGATCTTTAAAGATGTCTATGGGAACAAACAAAGCAAGTTGTATAGTATTAGAAACTTTCATTAAATCTTAATTTGGGAGTCTTGAGGTTAAGAGGAACATATCCCTCCATTTTCAGGTAGCAAAAACAAAATTCAATGTTAAGCCTCATGCACATGATCAACGCTCTTTGCAAATAAAAAGATTGAGATGAGTACTAAGGGAAGGAAAACTATGTTAGCAAGGACATTCCCAACTGCTTGATTGAGCATAAGAATCAACAGGAGAACATAAGTGCAAATACTCCGAACAAAAATTGGGTGGAGCAGGGAAATCTTGTTGAATCATACAGCATGGCGGAAGCATGGGTGTCTTTTGGGTCACAAATGGTGATGATGGAGGTGAACAGGGTTCCTAGATGCTAATGTGGATAGAGCTCAAAGAACCTGTAAGATGAATAGAATTTGGTCCACCACATTTATGTGATTCTTTTTCAGGTGATACAAAAAGCACTCCAGATAATGGCATTTGAGGTTATCGAATGAATAAAAACACACCAGGAACATTGACTAGCCATGATTAGTAACCAAACGCATTAAATAAATTCAGTATATTTCAAGTCTTGTAAGTGCTCAGGATCATAACCAGATGAATCACCAAGTTACATCTGATTATGGTAGTGGGGCTTTCAGAAATCCATGTAGGTAAGCAACAAAGTAGTTGTTTCTGCAATTCAGCCATCTGATTCAGTTTCTAGAGTAACTACCACATAACAATAGCCATTTAGCCGAAACTGTTAAAAATATCTCATGCTCTTTAAGAATTATCTCAAATATTGTATCTCGTTTTACTCTGTCTTTCCCGGTTCTCTTTACAGATAACCAAATCATTCCTATCCTATCAAATTCATAAAATTTCTGGATTTTAGTTCTATACACTTTAGATACTTTAGAAAACTCTATATCTCCTTTCTGGTAGTTGTTGAAGAGGTCATTCCAGAACAACATATGGTATTTTGTAAGGGCAATTTTCAAACTCATGGCAAAGCATGACTTACGTGAAAGTTTTGATCCCACATTGCCTAGAAACAAGTCTCTCCATGGCTTTATAAGTGGGAGATTTACTTAGTCCCACGGGGTTGGAATATTGGAATATTGGGGGCTTTCTGGATGCTTTTAATTTGTTTGCATACTTAAAACACACTCACATTCCATGGTTATGTTTTGAGAATGGTTCACCAATATGGAGCCCAAAATGAAGAGTTTTTCCAACCTTCCGGGGACCTAGAAACCAACAATTTCTTAATTAAAGATCATTGACATGCTCCTCTTATTTTTGTTTTTTAAGTAGGATATTCATTCTACAAAGAAGGCCACAGTTTTGACATTTCTGCATAGCACTTCCAAAATATAAAAAGAATACAAATAGTTCTAAGTTTTAACTAGTGGAAAATAATCCATGTTCCCCAGACTTTAAATATATCTCTTCTCTTTACGTTTCAATTATCATAACCTCAACTTATTTATTTTCCAAATTCAATGTTCAAAAACACGGCGGTGGCCACCTAGGCGGGCACCCAGAGACAAAGGCGGCCTGCCTTTTGCGGAAGTACAGATCGTTGCGGATTTTTGGCCCCCCCACACCTCCCCCCATGTCATTGTATATAGAAATGACTTTTTTTTTATTTAACAAGTAAGTTTTGTATATAATATATTGTTCAAAATGCAAAAGTCGGAAGTACAAGTCAAACATAAACATTTACAACTTTAGATTGTAAATTAAATAGTTAAAACTCAAAAGAAACATTAAAAAAAATAAAAAAAAAGTATAAAAGAGAGCATTCATTCGATTTGGGGCCAATGGCCTTTTTTATTGAATTGCTTTCCCAAAGACCCAAACTACATATCAAAATGGGAAAATAATAATGTAAATAGTCAATAAATTATCAAATATATATCATAAAGTATCACAAAAAGAAAGTACAAATAGCAAAGAATAACATCATAAGACATTGTGAAAAATAAATACATAACCTAATAAAAGCCATTAAAATATACCAACCTTCTTAAAGTGGAATCGATATTGAGCCAAATGAAAATGATTTGGTTCCCAAATCTCTTTTTTTACGACCACTAAAAGCTTCAAAAAGATTGAGGATGAATATCCTTAAATTTCATGACCATTCGAGGAGGTTGAAAAAAAAAATTCTCTCTCTGCAAATCTTCAAAATCATGCCTTTTTCAAAAAAATTCTCCCTAAACTTCACTAACAATGTTTTTGGGAGCAAGAATGGCCCCCAAAACATTTTCCCTTTTTTAGGGGGTAAAATAACGATTTTATCCATTGCCCAAGTTTTGTTTCTGCAATTGGGCGAGGCGGGTGCCTTTTATGCAGCTTAGGCGGGCGCCTTCAAGGACCTGCCTTAAGCAGGCCACCTAGTCCACCACTAGGCGTTTTTGAAAAAAAAACAGCCTAGGCAGCAAGGCAGACGTTTTTCTTTCATTGTCCAAAATTATTCTCAAGTAATAATTCCTCTATTTTCATGGAATGCACGCTACAGAAAAATAAATAATTTTAATGGGCACCAAATCCAGTATGTATTCTTGCACAGAAGCAACTCACCAGAACTACTTGAAGACAAAAAGAAAACTTATTTCCTAAACATAAACAAAAACGGAAAAAACACACAAAACGAAATATCAACATCGCTTTTTGCTATGCTTTCCGTTTTCAAAGAAATAGTCAAAATTAAAAAATCGATAACCAAGCAATTATTCGAACCAGCACAAAAGTATTCAGAAAAATCCTAGCACCATGAAAATAACACACCAAATTAACAGAGAGCAAGAGAACGAAGCATAAAATACCTGTAGAGATGCTTGCCCTTATTAGCCTCAGCCTCGAAGCACCTTTTGGGTAGCCTTTCGTCTTCTTCTTATGGCCTTCATTGGCCACAAAAGCATTTGATACCAACAAGCGAGAAGAGCTCCAGCAGACTGAGCAGCTACCAATCAATCAGAGCAAACAACAAATGAGAAACCCAAACTGAAACTGGTACACATAAAAGCCAGCATGTGTGTAGTTCAAGGAGAGAGATAGAGAGTCAAGGTTTTTGAATCCACCATCTCTTGCCGTGAAAAATGCAGGAAAGAAAGGGGATGAAGAATGGAGAAACAAAAGATAGAGACGAACCTGGTTAAAGACGAGGAACTCATATCATCTGTACATAAAGAAATGCAGTTTCAGGCAGAGAATTTTAGGGTGATTTCGAATGAGCGAAGGAGAAAGCTGCCGGTGTTCAAAAAAAGAAAGGAGGTGTCTGTGTTAGTGCTGTGTCCCCTTATCCTGCAATGCACGGCCATTCCATCGAGGATTTCGTTTACCAAAGGTAAGTGGGCCCAGCACATCAGCCACGTCTGCTACTGTTATCTTTTTCTTTTCTTTTCTTTTTTTATTTTCTCTTTTTTCTTGGCAAAAGGAAATAAATCCCTCACTCTAAAATTGTAATCCTAAGTAACCCGTTTTTTGGCTGAAAATTTTGTGATGAACCTCTAAGTTCAAAAATAAAAAATTAGAAAACATCTTTATAT